GTAATTGCTCCTTAATGACAAGTTAGGATTTAGTTCCATCAATTATGATTCTAAGATGTGGGATGGGTTTGGTTTATATTTCCTTAGTATGAAATATAAAACACTAGATGCACATTTGGAAATTATGAATGCAACACCAACTCATAAGCCACTCGCTCCAATCCGAACAATGACCTCAAACAGTCTAATATATCTCCGACTCAACTTTCCTTTTTTGTCAAACTACATTACTCTCTTCATCAAAGAAACTTGAAAGAACATAAAGTTACCATGTGAAAACTTTACATATCTCCTCTTAGGATCTATATAACTCTTTTATCTAGTATGTGGAGTCCTAAGATGTTTTTAGATCAAACTCACCTTCTCGACGAGTGAGCTGAATCAATTCTATACCTAAAGGTTCATTCTCTTTGGCTTATGTCCAAAATATTAGTGATCTACACTTTCGGCCATACAAGGCCTCATACGATGCCATATTGATGCTAGAGTTATAATTGTTATTATACAAGAATTCAACCTATAGTAAGTGATGATCTCAACTACCTTTTAGATCCATCATACATGCTCCAAGTATTTCCTCTAAGGTCCGGATTGTTTTTTCTAACTAATCATCTATTTGAAGATGAAATGTCGTACTAAAGTTTAGTCTCATACCAAGTGCCTTTTGTAATTTTCTCTATAATCGAGAAGTAAATTGAGGACCTTGATCCGAAATGATGAAGATCGAGATAACATATAAGGACACTATTCCATCAATATATAGCCGAGTGTATTGAGCATACCTATAGGTAGTCTTTATAAATAAAAAAATAGCAAACTTAGTTAATCTATCCATAATCACTCAAATTGAATCATACCCTTCTTAGGTTAAAGGCAAACCTATCACAAAATCCATTATCACTCTCTCTAACTTTCATTCTATAGTGGCAACTCTTGCAATAGTCTTGTCGACCTATAATGCTCATATTTCACTTGCTGATAAGTAAAAAACCATGAAACAAACTCTATAATATCCTTCTTCATTCCAGTCCATCAATAATTCTAACAAAGATCCTTATACATATTAACACAACTAAGATGTATAGAATATATCATATTATAAGTCTCTATTAAAGTTTGTTCTCTTAGCACTCGATTCTTTAGCTCACACAACCTTCGATTAAACCATGAAGTGCCTCTATTATTCACTCTAAAACCCAAACTTTTCCTTTTTACATCTTAGTAAAAATCTCTTATATCTCTTCATCATTCACTTGAGCCTCTAAGATCTTATCCACAAAAAGTAGCCTAACATCAATATGGGGCCAGGAGAGAACCCAATTTATTAATTACAAACTCTATAATATCCGGATGATACAAGATAGTACAATCATAATCCTTCACTCCAGAATCTCATAATCTATTCACTTTAGATGCCCATAGCCACTTCAATAAATGAGCCAAACTCTCGACTAACTTTCTACCCAAAGCATTGGCTATCACATTAGCCTTACCCGAATGATACAATATAGTACAATCATAATCCTTCGGTAATTCCATCCATTTTCTCTACCTTAAATTTAGATCCTTTTGATCAAACATGTATTTTAAACTCTTATAATCTGTATAGATCTCACGAGTCTCTCCATATAAATAATGTCTCTAAATTTTTAAGCAAACACCACCGATGTCAATTCCAAGTTGTGTGTAGGGTAGTTTTATTCATGTTTCTTCAACTTCCTCAAAGCATAAGCTACTACCTTACCATGTTGCACCAACACACATCCTAACCTCACTCTCAAAGCATCACAAAACACCAAAAATCCACCATTTTCTAAAGGTTAGGTAAGGATTGTTCGCTGTGGTAAACACGTCTTCAACTTTTGAAAGCTCTCTTCATACTTATCCGACTACCGGAACCTCACATTCTTTTGAGTCAACTTGGTCGAGTGGTGCCGCAATCCTTGAGAAGTCTTGCATTAACCTTCGATAATACCTATCTAGACCCAAAAAGCTATAAATCTCTTTCATTGAAGTAGGTCTCGACCAATATCTTACTGCCTCTACTTTCTTTGGATCAACTATAATCTCTTCTTTAGATACAATGTGTCCTAGGAATGCCACACTCTCCAACTAGAATTCACACTTTGAAAACTTGGCATACAACCTCCGATCCCTTAATGTCTGCGACACTCACCTTAGATTATTCTCACGCTTTCTCTCATTCTTAGAATACACCAATATATTATCAATAAATACTATCACAAACTAATCGAGAAAGCATCAAAACACCCTATTCATTAAAGCCATAAAAGCTATTAGGGCATTAGTATGGCCGAACGAAATCACCAAAAATTCATAAATGGCCATGCCTCATCCTAAAAGTAGTTTTGAAAATGTTCTCTTTCTTAATCCTCAACTCGCTGGTATCCGGACCTCGAATCAATTTTAGAAAAGTATCTTACACCTTACAACATGATCAAATATAAAAATAATAATATGAGAAACACATCCAAACTGATATACTTATAAGAAATCATATAAAGTATCAAGAGATTTCAAAAAAAAAGACTATAATAAAATAGTAGTATAGCCACAAATAAACCTAAACTACTTAACATATTTCAAAAGATTGATTGTAAGTAAGGGAATTATCATAAAACTTTTTACACAAATTTTAAAATTTTTGAATGACATCTAATCTTAACTTTCATATATTAAAACATTTCTCAAAGCTGAACGACCAAGTTTCTCCAATTCTTGCCTTTCCGTCCTCCACTTAGTAGCCCGATAAATAAATATTTTTCTATTAGAAAGTCCAAAGTTAGGTTGACGACAAGGGGTTCTTGTTCGTCGTATGAAGGGAGATGGGATTAAGAATGTTAGGAAAGAGAAACAAAAAGGAGACAACACAAGGAAAAGAAGGAAAAAATATTTTGAGAGAGTTCTAGAGATTGTGTGGTTAGCCATGAATTATTGCATTCTTACACAATTTTATGTTATTGTTTAAGGAGGGTTTAGTAATACTTAAAGAAAGATAAATACAAAGAAGAAGAATTATTATTTTTTTTAAATTGAGTTTAGTTGAAAATATTTTTATTAATTTATATGGATTCAAATGCTAATTTTTTTTCTTTTATATGTCTATCATTCCCTTCAAAATAAATACATAAGATAAGTATTGTTAATTATTTTTTAAATATTTTAAAATTTCTTCTTGTCTTACACGTGTTTGTAACAGAAAAGTAGGCCCTTTGAATTCATTGAATTAAGCCCATATTAGGATTTTCTCAACCCAATTTTTCTTTTATTTTGTATTCATTGCTTTCAATCGCTTTGATTTTTTATTTTGGCTAATTCTATTGAACACCACCACCAAATTCAAATCAAACTAGAGATATGCTCTCCGTATGTTATGATAATAATGGGTATGTAAAAGTTTCAAGTTTAAAAAATTTATATTTGTAGGATTGAATTAAAAATTAATATAAAAGTATTTTTGAATTTTAATTATTCAATAGGTTAAGTTTTTGTATGAAATTATTATTATTTTTTTTACAAACTATTGTGTTCATTTTTTATTTAAACAATTTCAAAAACTAAAATAAATTTTTGAAAACAACAATTCTTTTTCTTTAAGATTTCATGTTATCACAATATCACAACCATCACCTCACCACTAATAACACAACCACTAAAAATAAAGATTTAAAAATGTACTATTTGAAAATCAAGTAGGCTATTTTTTTCTACTCTCTTGTATAAAGTTTCGGAGTAAATTACTATAAATTAATTCTTCTAGTTTGGAGAAATGAATTAAATAGTCATTCTCATTTTTAAAATTTAACTATTCAGTTCTTCATGTTTTAATTCATTATTAACTTAATTTTTTAATTAGTTTTTTGTTAGATTAGTGATTTTTTTTCAAATTATATTTCCTTTAATGCCTTATTTATCTTTTTCATTTATTTTTTCTCTTCTCAAAAAAAAAAAAAAAAGAAATGAAAAGAAAAGCAATTTAGGAACAAAAATTACTAATCTAATATAAAATTGATAAAAAAACTAAGATATTGACATAATTTAAATAAAAAAAATAATTAGTTTTTTTAAAAAATAAGATGTCAATAATTCGTTTCTTTAAACGAAAGAGACTAATTTATAATTTACTCTAATGGTAGTCAATATATATATATATGAAAAGAAAAGCAATTTTTATTTTTTCTTCTCAGATCTTTGGTGCTTAAGAAATTCCTTTATAGATAACGCAACGCTTAACCTTTAGAAACATTAGAAATAAACACACCACCACTGCACCACAAAGTTTACTGGAAAAAAAGCAAAAAAAACACACAGAATTTTCTCAATCATCAGAGGAGTGGGGCGCCAATCCAATGGGTTGAGAAAATTCTACAAGTCTGTTTTGGTGTTGTGTTTTCGGTAAAAATAGTAGTACTAAAAAAAATTAAAGGGAACATTAGGTTAAACAAGTGTCTTCTTGTCACTTGATATTGGATTAAACCATTACGATAATAGGATGCCGGATGATACATGAAGAGCAATATTGACATTTCACATGGAGGGAAAGGGTAAATGCTAGAGTAATATTAACATTTCACAAGGATGGAAAGGGTAAGACCGTAATGTTACTGCTCTAAGACTTTTGCGGGCATGTTGATGATGGGATGCGTAAGCGTCAATCAACTCTCATGCATCAGTGACTGACTACTCATGCACTGGCATCAACCTTTGCTTCACGCTATTAATGGTGAACAGAATGGGAAGAGTGAAAAACACTTTCCGAGACCAGAAACGAAGTCGTTTCAAACTAATAAACCAATCCAAACAGACCCCAAGCAACTCCCTTGTCAGACACAGGACACTGCGTCTCAAAGAGCGGCAAAACACTAGAGAGAGAAAAATCAAAAATTCGAATTCTCGAAAAAGCTGAATAACCCATCACTTATCGGCTAAAGCTAAAAGAAAAAGAGAGACAAAATTTCCCTTTCACATACACTCCATCGATGGCCAGAAAGAAAGCTCCGGCTACTCGAGCACGAAGCAGAAGCCAAAGGCAATCCGGTCAGATCTCTCTCTTTACATATAATTTTATCAACATAAACGAAAAGGCAGAATGGCATAATTTATGGTTTTTTTTTTTTTTTTTGGGTATAAAACACGTATTTGTTGTTTTCATATTTATATGTAAATGGTTAGGGTTTCTATTTTTCTCTTTTTTTGTTATAAACCTTAACTTTTTATGTTTTCCTTCGTGACGTTACAGAAGCTGCACCATCTACACCTAGAGCGCCAACATCATTGGTACCTCCCTCTTTCTCTCTCTGTTTTGTTGTTTCTTGTGATTTTTTTTGTTGCCTGTTTGGTTGCTGAGAAAATGCGTGGGAGGAAAGTGACTACTAATTATTTGTTTTAAACTCCTGTTTTACGTTTTGTATAAATTTGAAAGAAAAAATTAGAAAAATAAGTTTGCATAAGCTGGAGGTAATTAGTTATGGAAAACCCTGGGAAGGAGAAACTTTGGAATAATAAAAAAAAAAGTGAATGTTTTAAATATTTTCATGGCTATTGAACTGAACCTTTGTTTGCTAATTTGTTATTTTCTGCTATTGTTTTAATTTCCTTGGTAAAGTTAGAAATGGGTAAGACATGAAGGAAAGAAACTTAAAATTCAATACACATTTTCTCTTTTTAACTGTTATTTTAGTAGAGAAAGAAATGAAAAAAAAACCCAAAACAGTTATACATGTCTTGTTTTTCTCTTGCCTTAAATTTCAAATGTTCTAGTGTTTCCTTTTGTTGTTTAACGATCTCATATTTTATTTTTTGGTTGCAGAGGACAAGATCAACAGCAAATGCCCAAGAAGGTGAGTTATTTTATTTTTTGGGTGAAATTCGGTTCTTGTTTTATATTGAGTTGTTCAACTTGATTGTATTGACATGTGTTTTTTTTCTGGGATGCTTTTGCTTTATTTGTTAATATTTGTAAAAGGTTCATCCACAGAAATGCAGAGGAAAAAGCACCGCTTCCACCCAGGGACAGTAGCTCTCCGGGAAATTCGGAAGTGCCAGAAGACATGGAAGTCACTCATACCAGCTGCTAGCTTCATTCGATGCGTGAGCACTCTCTGTTGTAACTTTTTTTTATAGTTTATTTTGTTAATCCAATCATTGGATGTCATGTTTAATTGTTCTGTTTCTTGCTTGTAAAATTCAAATTAATTGGGTATCTTTGCATTTGTCATCTTGATAACTTTTTGAATTCGGGACTTAATTTGGTAATCGTAGAATGAATGGAATGTTTATAAATATTTGATTGACTTGCTAGTTCTATGTGCATGATCTCCATGAAGATTAGTATTATATCCGAAGTCTGGTTTGGTAAAACTCAGATTGTCTAAAAATGTGCTAAACAATCAAACACTTCATGGGAGTGGGTTTCTTTGCATATATGTGCATGTAAAATGTTTGCATATGTACATATATTAAAACATGTAGATAAGTTTATATGACAATTGGCTAGATATGATGTTGGTTCCCACACCAAAATAGGTCACAATTATTACTGTGATGACCCAGTCAAGATTGACTTGAATAGCATGCACTAGAATTATATGATTTATACAATGTTTGATATTGCTCAATTCAGGAAAGTTGACAAATTAATCATACAAATCTCACGGTTTTTTACTCATTTCAATTGCATTGCTCTCATGAAGTTTCTTTATGTTTGCAGTGCATATTAATGTTTCTTTCTGTCACATTACAATCTGACATTTGATTCATCTTATTGTTTGGATCTGAAGTTGTATTTCTATTTGCGACCTTCCCACAACCCATTGGTTTTTCTCCTCCTGCTGAGTCCCCAAATTTCTTTTTGTTATTCCCAGTTGATTGTTCCTCATTGAAACCTTTTTTTTACAATTAAATGCTTTATTTATGATTTGCAACATCTTTTTGCCAATGAAAAACCAAAATTTTCTTCATTGAAAATTTGTACTTTTTTTCACCTCGAAATTTGTTTTTTTTTTAAAAATGGATGGACAAAGTTGGGACTTGAACTTGAGACCTCACTTGTCTTGCTTTTGCTAGATTACCATTAAGCTACAAGCTCATTGGTACAATTGGATGCTGTGTTTATAAGGAGTTATTTTTATTTTTTCCCAACAAAATAGAAGTTGGATCTATCTGAATGCTCATACGCACAAAATTCAATGGTGACTCTAGATAAAAACAAGGTTTTTTTGGTAAAGAACACCAATAGTTGAAACCTTTTAAACCACTCCACTCTCTTGTGTTGTTGTAACCTCACAATGTATTTGTTAAATTCACCTGTTACTTATTCCACTTTCATGGTTTAGTGACTTCGCTGTTGTTTCTCTCTCTGCATGAATTTGTTGAATTCACCTATTGCTTATTTATTCACAACATTGAGATTCTACAATTAGTTTTTGTTAACAATGCCCTTTGGACATTATGCATTTATCTTTTGTGCGTATGATCTTGCTATTGAGGTTTAATTGGATGTGGCAATGTTTGTTATCATTTTACAGGTAAGAATGATTACCCTGAAGTTTTCCCAAGAAGTTAACCGATGGACTGCTGAAGCTTTAGTTGCAATTCAGGAGGTAAAGTGATTTTTTTTAACTGTCTGCTATTAGTATGCTGCATTACTTTAATCCTCCAGCAAAAATCTGTACTTGTCTTCAAAAGTCTCAGCGTACATGGATTTTCAGTTTAAGACTACGCAATCCCTTCTTAGTGTTGTCATCACCTCTAGTCTTGTTCAGTATGGTCATGTAGTTTTTGGTAAAAAAGGGGACCAAGGGCTCTAAACACTTAAAATAAGAGAACAAACACGTGGAACAACCATCTCCATTAAGTCATTAAAAAGGAAACATCCCAAGCCTGAACCAGACCCTCCAAAGCCACTTCTCCAGACTCCATTGCTATCACGAACCAGAGCCCCCAAACCAACTAATTACTCTGCTCTGGGTGTACTTTTCAGAAGATTAGGGAAGTTGTGCTATTAAATCTTGATGCATGCCAGTTATAGTTTTGTTACTTGTGTAGGCAGCAGAGGATTTTTTGGTTCATTTGTTTGAAGATGGAATGCTATGTGCAATTCATGCAAAACGCGTTACATTAAGTGAGTGAGATGCAACTATTATAATTACATGCTTTGCCTTTTCTTTTTTCTCCTTTAGTTTCATGAGCTAATTTTTCACATTATGATAGAATTTTGATAAAATCTAGTTCAGTGATTTCTGCTCTATACACGCTTAATAATCTTCAGTTTAGTGCATAGCAGGTCAAATCAAGTAAGTTAGATTTTACACAACTACATCTATTATGATCATGACCATTTTGTGTTTCCTTCAAATTCTATTGGAAAACTTTGCACTTCTATTTATTTATTTAGATGGAATTTTGATCAAGTTCACTTCAGTGGTCTTAGAATCTTCAGTGTAGATGTGTACCAAATCTTATGCTGCTTCTGTGTTGTATAATTGCTAGTATGCTTTGCATATTATTGATATTTCAGAGACTAATTTTTTAGGATTATCTGAGCATCCTTGAAATTATCTAGGTTGATTTGTGAGTTTGAAGAAGTCAGTCAAGGTGAAACACAAAAACAAGGGAACTAACTCTAACATTAACAAACCATAGACTATACAACATACTTCTAATAGTTGCGAACCTACTTAACCTTGATCGCGATGGTAATGTTTCTCAGCTTCTACTCTAAAATCATTTATAGAAGTTCTTTTGGCATAAATATTGGCTGTTTTACTCAGACAACAATGCCTTCCTTTGCCCCTGCCACTGATGCACCTCTTTCTATGGCATTCAAAAGTACATATTAATAGATAATAGTTGGGATATTCTGAAGTGCGTTGCTGCAATGTTCACATTGTGCACAATCATTTGGATTCACCAATATTATAGATCTTACTGTTGATGATCCCATAGCAGCATGCCTATGATGTTTTGTCCAATTCAAATTCATTCAATCTTGCTTCAGAATTTTATATGAGCTATTCAGTGTAAAGAAACTTGTTTTATTTGCTTTCTTGCCTCAGTGAAAAAGGATATTGAGCTGGCTTGTCGGCTTGGAGCAAAGGGACGACCTTGGTGAGAGTGTCACAGTACAAGAGCATTTCTGATTCTAATCACCTTGATATGCAATTACATTGTTGTTCTTTGACAGCCATTACTTTCTTGTTGTATAGGTGTAAAGGGCGCAGTAAAGAGCGCAGTACTAGGAAGTAGATATCAGTCACCATCCTCATCACACCACTTGCAATGTGGCAGCTTTCAGAATTTTGCGTACAAATTTTGCGGTGCATCATATTTTTGACTACAGGGAAGGTAGATCCCGTGGATTAGAATCCACTAGTCGTGTTAGGGTCATAATTGGCCGGTTATGTTATTGTAAGCAGGTCAGCACCCTTATTTACTCGTACAACTGTCGGTTTTTGTTTGAAAAGGCTTGTTTTGAAGGGGATCTAATAGCTGATGTGTCCGTTGACCGGTGTATGTTGTCCTTAAGTCTCTCACTTTGATGACTAACACCTGGCAATTTTAATCTATTTTTATTGCTTGTTTGACGTGAAAATTGGAACCTAACTTAGATCTTATGGGCATGCGAAACTGGCTATCTTTTGGAAATTTGATGACAGCTAACTGGTGGATATATAGAGATTTCATATGGATAAATAATATTGATCAAAGTAGAATAAGTCATGGATAAGTAATATTGATCAAAGCAGAATAAATCAAATAAATGTTCAAACTTTCCTGGAGAATTTAGGGGAAAGAAAAATATGTTCATTTTCTTGGATGTTGATCACTGTTTCATTTATGGTTTGAAGTTTTTTGCATAAATATAATGATTTGAAGTTTTTGCATAAATATATTGATTGGTTGCAAGACGTAATCTTCGCCATTTTTTTAAGGCTATCTTTTCATTTTGCATTGTTTTTGTAGGAAGAGAGCAAGAGAATGCTAAAATTAAAATTTGTTTTTCAATTCTATTTATTTGCTTGAGTGAAACTTACCATTTAAATTATTATAAATTTTTATTTTTGAATCTTGAATCAATGCATAAAAAGAAACAAATCAATTTTTTCTTTTTAAAAAATGATTTTTTTTTTTTATAGGAAATGCAAGGAATAGTTGATTAAATGCAATAATTTATGCATTGTAACTCTTTTAAGCAATAATATTACTAATTGACTCGTTAGGAGCCCAAAACGACTATTAGTGTTGTGTTTCGATCAAGAAGGTTGACACACTTAAAACGACAACAAGGAGTGTTTAATTAAATGGTAGAACAGTTTGTTTAGACATAATTAAAATTTCTCTCGTTTTTGTTATATTCTGCGACTTAGATAGAATTATGTTAGGAAACATTCTAGAAGAAATAACTGATGTAAGGGTTGATTCCTTGTGTCTTTAAATATATGAAATTGTAACCAAATGAGATATGAATATTAGTAAGAAATTTCATTCTCAAATTCTCTCTCCTTTTCTTTGCAATCTCTTCTTCCTTTGCCTTTCAATCGCCCTCTCCGATTGATCCGCAACACCACTTCTTCTAGCTCATTTGCACTCACCTCCGGTTCCTTACAAGTGGTATCGAGCTCTTTTGCACTATGGCTGAAGGTACTAGACTAAAAACCTTAAATGAACAAGTCAAAAATCTTGAGGGTTAGCTTCGATCCCTACAAGTCGATGTAGCAAAAATTCAAACTAATGCGCAACAACATTATTATGAAAATAAACAAATGTGGAACCAAACTCAAAAAGCCATACGAGAGATTGGTAGAAGCTATGAAAGCTTTTCAGCTTGCCAATTTGGGGGGACCAAAAGGAGCTAGCGGCTCATCTATTCATACCACGGACACCGAGAAGGGAATCTTACCCACACCTATAGACATTTACTCACCCCACACCGGACACAACCCCGCATACCAAAACATCAATCAATACCATATAATCAATTCGGATCACTCGACCTATCACCAAGCGTCGAACCGGCTATGGCCAAAGATGGAGTTCTAGTACTTTGATGGAACTAACCTTAGGTTGTGGGCTAGAAAATGCTAGAAGGTGTTTCAAGTTTATCAAGTCGGGGAGGAGGCTAAGGTGGAGATTGTTGTTATATTCTTGGATGTCAAGCACGACATATGGTTTCAAGAATGGAAGGAGGATAATTAGGAGGGTCTATGTAGAAGATTTAGGGAGCAAGAAGAAACAAGCTGTGATAGAAGAGTTTCATAGGCTTCAACAAACCGGCACGGTAGAAGAGTATTAAGAGAGGTTTGAGGACCTAAAATCTCCGGTAAAGAAAATGAACCTAGGCTTCACGGAAGGGTATCTAGTAAAGGTTTTCATAGGAGGACTAAAAGGAGACCTCGGCTGGCGAGTGAAGAGATTCAAACCTGTGGATCTCGGGGAAGCGTTTGAGCAAGCCAAGCTCAATGAGGCCTTAAGAAAACCCACACCCAATCTAAATAAACTACCCAATATACACCACTCCCAATCTCATAGACCTTCATAAACTACCACCATTATTCCAAAGCCAACATACTCAACCCAAACTTCCAATAGAAACGTACCCTACCGATCACAAAGAGAATATTAGAGTAGGCCACACAACGGGAATGAAGTGAGAAGAGAACCTGGTAAATGCTTTAAGTGTGGGGATAAATATTTCCCGGGGCACCGAGTGCAAATTGAAACAGTTGCTACACATGATTCTCGAAGAAGTGGAGCAAGGCAAGCTATAAGACAAGTATAGGAGTCGAAGAAGACCAACCCGCAATAGAAGAGGAGCTAGTAGTCGAAGTTGATAGTGGCATTTCCTTACATGCCTTGAGTGGTAAGACTTCTCCTAATGCTTTCAAAATTAAAGGGTATGTAGGAAAAAGGGGTATAAGTATTTTGATTGATAGTGCGAGTACCAATAGCTTCATTGATAAAGGGCTAGTGAGAGAGTTAAAGCTTTATACCATGCAAACTAACTCATTGATAGTGACGGTAGCTAATGGGGCTAAGATGAAGAGGGAGTCTAGGTGTAGGGAGTTTCGATGGGTGATGCAAGGTTGAAACTATATTGCCGACTTAGGGGTGCTAGGCTTAGGGGGTGTGATGTGGTGTTTGGTCTAGATTGGATGGAGAGCTACAATCCCATACATTTTGATCTTAAAACTAGAGAAGTCACCATATATCAAGGGAATGAGAAAATTACCTTTAAAGCTGAAAAAAGGGAAAGGGTCTTACGGTTTATTAAAAGGAAAAAGAGTGGAAAAACTTTTTAAACGAGAGAATGAAGGGGGTCACCGGCCACATGTTCATGATGATATGTGAAGAGAAGGGGGAGAAACACAAATACACGAATTCTCTTCTAGATGACTACCAAGATATCTTTGAAGAACCAAGGGCACTACCACCTCACCGAGCCTTAGACCATACCATTCCCTTGAAATCAAACACGAAACTAGTCAATTTGAGACCATATAGGTACCCTTATTTTAAAAAAACAGAGGTAGAGAAGCCGGTGAAAAAGATGTTACAAACTTCCATAATCCAACCTAGCCATTCCCCTTTTGCTTCACTAGTGTTGTTAGTCAAAAAGAAGGATGGATCCCGGAGGTTTTGTGTGGATTATAAGGGGCTGAATGACATTAATATTAAGGATAAATTCCCTATTCCTTTAGTAGAAGACTTAATGGATGAGCTAAATGGAGCGAGTGATCTTCTCTAAGATTGATCTTAGGTTTGGTTACCACCGCATTAGGATGGCCAAGGAGGACATCCCAAAGACAACATTTAGAACTCACCAAGGCCATTATGAGTTCAAGGTTATGCCCTTTGGGCTTACCAATGCACCAGCCACCTTCCAAGCATTGATGAACCGGTGTTTGCTAATTATCTAAGGAAGTTCGTACTAGTTTTCTTTGATGATATACTTATCTACGAGTGATGACTTAGAGACACACCTAGATCACCTCAAGGCCGTGCTACAAACACTACAACAACATAAATTCTATGCTAAAAGATCCAAGTGTTCGTTTGGAGTAGATCAAGTGAAGTACACGGGTCACATCATCACAAGAGAGGGGTAGCAACAAACCTTTCTAAGTTTAAAGCCATGAGAGAGTGGCCACTACCAAGTAACCTCAAGTCACTAAGGGGTTTCTAGGACTCACCGGCTACTATAGAAGGTTCATAAAAAATTATGGGAATATCGGTAGACCCTTGACTAGTTTACTAAAGAAAGATGCATTCAAATGGGGGAGGAAGCCACACAAGCCTTTGTCCAACTCAAAGAAGCTATGTGTTCGGCTCCAGTATTGGCATTACTTAACTTCAAGAAGACATTTATCCTTGAGACGGATGCTTGTGACACGGGTATATGGGTCGTTCTAATGCGGGATAAGAGGCCTATAGCCTACTTCGGTAAGGCCTTATGTTCAAAGAATCAAGGCCTATCGACTTATGAGAAAGAACTCCGGCTATCCTCACGGCAGTTGACAAATGGAGGCACTACTTAGAGGCCAAACACTTCATCATCAAGACGGACCACTACAGACCTCAAATACCTTCTACAGCAGAAACTTCACACTCACATACAAAAGAAGAGTCTCACCAAACTACTAGGCTTTAGCTATCACATAGCATATAAGAAAGGGAGGAAGAATGTTACGACGGATGCATTATCCGAGGCTACATGAAGAAGGACATGACAATGCCGCCCTTGAAACCATCACAATGATTGAACCACGGTGGCTAAATGAAGTTAAACAGAGTTATGAGGGGGATCCCATAGTCCATAAGGTAATTGTAGCATCACAAAAATCGGGAGGGTCGCCTCTAAACTACTCTTACAATGGGGGTCCGTTGAGGTATAAGGGCGAGGTTGTGTATGGGTCAAACGGGGAGCTTAAACAAAAAATCCTCAAGGACTTGCACTCATCACCTAATGGGGGGCACTCGGGATTCGAGCTACATAATATCTAGCTAAACACTCATTCTATTGGCCGGCTTGAAACAAGACGTTAAAAGAGAAGTAATGGAGTGTGAAGTTTGTCAACAATGCAAGGTCGAAAAAGTCCTCTACCCCGATCTACTACGACCCTCGCCGGTTCTTATGAAATCTTGGAAGCATGTTAGTATAGACTTTATAGAAGGGTTACCCCTTCGAAGGGAAGCATGCTATCATGGTAGTGGTGGACAAATTCACTAAGTATAGCCACTTTACCGCACTCACTCATCCCTACACTGCAAGATAACGTAGCTAAGCATTTCCTATAGGATATCTACAAATTGCATGGCCTCTCTCACACTATAGTCTTAGATAGAGACCCCATCTTTACAAGTCAATTTTGATAAGAATTGTTCAAACAATTGGGAACTACTCTATTACTAAGCACAACCCACCACCCACAAACGGATGATCAAACGAAAGGGTAAATCAATGCTTAGAAAATTACCTCGGATGCGGGACCTTCTATGAGCCCCAAGCATGGAGTAGATGGTTATATTTGGCCGAGTGGTGGTACAATACCACTTACCACGACTCATTGAAAAGCACCTTATTCGAAGCTCTTTATGGCTTCAAACCCCCAACTCACTCGATTGCATTTGAGGAAACGCCTAGGGTTGCAACGAGTAGAGTCACACCTACAAGAAAAGGAAGAAATGCTGAAGTTAGTCGAGCAATAATTGTTGAAGGACCAAGACCGCATGAAGGCTTAAGCGGACAAAAAGAGAGTGGAAAGAACTCTCGAAGTGGGAGACATGGTTTACCTCAAGCCGTAGCTTTACCAACGATCCTCGGTGGCCAAACGCACAAACCGAAAGCCGAGTGCTGGATTCTATGGCCCGTACGGAGTCAAGAGGAAGGTTGGGAAGGTGGCCTACCATTTTGAATTCCTACAAGAAAGCTCGAGACACCCCATTTTTCATGTATCTTTACTCAAAAAGAAGATAGGGTATGGTCAATCTATCTCCACCACTCGCCACCTGTGGAGGATTCCAACGAGAAAGAAGCATTCACACCAACGAAGGTGTTGGATCGAAGGTTGTATAAGAAAGGAAACCGAGTCGGGGTGAAATGGTTAATTCTATGGAAAGGTCCGGGAATAAAGAATGTGACATGGGAGGATGCTAATTTTATATTGCGCCGGTTTCAAAATTTGAAATTCATCCTTGAGGTCAAGGATGATTTTAAGGGGAATAGGTTGCCGGGATCCCAAAACGACCATCGGTGTTGTGTTTCGATCAAGAAGGTCGACACGCTTAAAACGACGACAAGGAATGTGTTTAACTAAAGGGTAGAACGATCTGTTTAGACATAATCAAAATTTCCCTCGTTTTTGTTATATTCGAGCTCAAACGGAATTCTATTAGGAAACATTCTAGAAGAAATAACCGATGCAAGGGTTGATTCCTTGTGTCCTTAAATATAGAAAATTATAACCAAATGGGATATGAATATTATTAAGAAATTTCATTCTCAAATTCTCTCTCTCTTCTTCTCTGCAATCTCTTCTTCCTCTCGCCTTTCAATTTTTCCTCTTTGCTTGATCTACGGTACCACTTCTTCCAACTTATCCGCACTCACCTCCGGTTCCTTACATTGACATCATGACTTACTAGATTTTTGAATGAAATCTTTTTATTGTTTTTGACTTTTAGCATTATATAAAGATTCTAAATTGGATCGTGCTATTTAGATCACCTATATATTTATGTAGTTCTTTTTTTTGCATTACATCTATTAAGTTTCAAAGTATAAGTAATGGGTTAATCTCAACATCCTTTTTGATCAATATTGCTCAAACATCAAGCTTATTATAGTATGTGTATTTGTTTTTGTTAAACGTTATGTCGGAGGATATCAATAACCGATATAGCTTAGATGTGAATATGATATAATATTTTTTGTGTTTGAGGTTTCTATGCTATGTGTCTAAGAATCTATATAAAGAATTTTCAATTCTAAATAGAAACATAATGTTGCTATGAAGCATGCTTTGATAAAATCAAAATTTATGATTCATATAAGAGAGTTTTCCCTCATTACTTCTTTCAAGACAACAAATTATTATTTAGCTATTTTCGATCTTCTTTCTAAATCAAGTTAACTTTTTCTTCATACTCGGGACCAAATGTTAGAAAAGAAATTCTTTGTGCATGTTCTCTGTTCTAGTCTTGGATGGTGGCGACCTAATGGATCGGTTATGGATTCTACTTGTACATAGAAATATTGCACTTTATTGTAGTTCAATTTAGTATCATTTTAGCGTTAAATTGTAAAACCAAAATGCACTAAGAATAAATTATACTTTCTAATTTTTGTTAGTAGTGTTTATTTTGCGAGAAAATATTTTTATAATATTTTTATATTTTTTTGATGTAAAATATTTTACGGAAAAACTAATTAATATAAATTTAATTTTAAAAACTTCTTTATTATAATCATACAACATCATTCTTGTGCAATTTACATGTATGTTTATAATATTTTTTAGTAGTGCTTTATTATTTTTATTTTAAGCAATAAAATGGGATCTATAAAAGCTATACCTCAAATTGTCCCAAATAGATATATTTCACCTACAACACATTAACAATTAAAAGAAATTTATTCCACCTCTATGGAAACTAAAACTCAAAAATACCTTTGCAAACAAGACCACAAGACATAAAGTTGCCATCGTGCTACCATATGTTTGATTATTATAGTGAAAGTACTACAAACTGAAATACTAGCAAACAATATAGAGTAAGACTAGATGGGTACTCGCGCTATGTTGCGAGTTGAGCACCCATTATATACGTAGCGTTAATGATTCGTATAGTATACTACGAGTAAAAGTTTTATTTTCAATGATTAATGTAAATATAATCTATATATTGAGCGAAATCGCTTCATATATATATGTATAAACAAAATATTTAATAACATTAGCATAAAAATTTGTATTTGAATAATAAGGAAGTTCTTTCAAAACATTATGTAAGCTATTTTATTTTAAAAAATAAATTTTAGAATATAAAAAATAAATAATAAATAATTAATATTATGCGTGTAGATATATAGTTAATTTTTAATAAAATTAATGATACATATACATATCATACTTAATAGATTCATAGTATATAGAATAAATAGAAAAATATACAAAAAAACCCATCTAAATTGTATGAAATATATTAAAGTCAATAGATTAAAAAAAAAAACTACAAAAAAATTGATTCGATAAATTTTGAATATATATATAAAACTTGTGATTTTTTTTTTGAAAAATTGAGCCAAACTATCTAAAAAATACTTAGCTCTCTCTCTCTCTCTCTGTCTGTCTCTCTCTCTGTGTGTATATATATATAATCGAATTTATAAATTGTAGTAATATATTTTTAAAATATAAAACAACAACGTTCTAAAATTTTGTTTCAAAATTCATATATTAAAAAAAATTATTAACAAATAAAATTATATCAAAAAAATAATTTGATGAGAATTTTAATAAGAAACAAATAATTAAAGAAATAAATTTTAAACAATAAGAGTAATATAATCGGATATATATGTTCAAACTAAAATCTTAAAAAAATCATATATATTCTATCATCTTCAAATGTATGTAAAACTAAAAAAAATAACGATTTATTTTCTCTATTTTTCACACTTAATTTCATGATAGTATATATATAGAAAAAAAAAGATCGAGCTCACTAAATTGTATAAAATATATTGAAGTCAATAGATTAAAATAAAAACTACAATAAAATTGATTCTCATAAATTTTGAATAAATATATATAAAATAGCAAATAAAACTTATGTCTTTTTAATCGATTATTAATTGTTTTTTTAAAAAATTAAGATAAACTATTTAAAATATACTCTCGATTGTGTGTGTGTGTATAACAAGAGTTTATAAATTATAATAATATATTTTAAAAAGTAAAACACTCATTTAAAAAGGATAAAAGTAATTTATTGTATAAATTATAATAATATATTTAAAAAAAATTGACGTTTTAAAATTTTATTCCTAAATTCATATATTAAAAAACCAAATTTATTAATGTTGTCACCCAAATTTTTACCTTTATTAGTTTTACTTCTATTGCAAAATACCAAACAAAAAATGAAAATGAAAAAAAAATGAAAAATGAAAAGATAAAAAAAAATAATCAAAACTAGTGGCTCTTTAATTAAAATAAGAAGGGGGCATAATTTGAAAAATTCAAAAAGAAAAGTCCCAATTAATTGAGATTTGAGGGGGCCATCGAAACAAAAATAAAAAATTAAACTTAAGTTAATGGATGATAAAGGATTGGGGACCAAATTATAATTTTGCAAAAAAAACCCCATCTATAAAAGATTCCCATGCATTTTTTGGTAGATTTTTACTATTCATTATCACCTTCAAAAGAAAAAATTCCCTGCGGCCACACATCTTCCTGACAAGGTGCACCAAGCTTCCTTCTCACCTCGCCCACCTTCTACCCGGAAGCCAGCCATCGCTCACCCCTCAAACCTCTACGCTTGCTCTCTCCCTTTCGCCCCCACTTCCCCACTCCAGCACCCTTAAACCTCACAACCCGTAGCTCTCTCTTGCCCTCTCGCCAGCTCTCGCACCAGCCGCCACACATACACAGACCCGAGCTCTCCCTCACGCCAAACACACTGCTTGCAAGTCCCCTCTCGCCCAAGCCTTCTCCCTCGCCAACCTCCATACACCACAGGCCATCACACACCAAGCTCCACTCCAGCCCTTCTCGCCCCACACAGCCATACACCTCCTCACTCTAGAACGCCACAGCCCACATCTCCAGCTTTCCCTACACGCAGCACCTTTCAGCCTACTACCCCTACACTACACACACACACACACCCAACCACGCTCCATGCCTACGGCCCACACCACACTAGTGAAGCTCCAGCCCCTCTCCTCACCTAACAACACTTATCAACCAACCCTCATTCTAGCCTTCTTCTAAATCCCAAAAAAACAACCTCAACCAGACCTTTAAACACACACCAAAACCCCTAAAAAACAGAACCGCACAACAGACCCAAAACCCACTGAAAGCCCCTCAAAATCAGCTCTACAACTGCTACCAACAACCCCCCAAAACCCTTACAAAGTAACCTATTCGAATAGCTCCCTTAAACCACCCCTAAACCAGCTTTAAAATAACCCAAAAAACTCCCCAAAACACCCACTAAAATAGTTACAAAACCCCCCTCAAAATAGCTCATTTGAACACTTTTTTTATTGCGAAAAAGGAGAAGATAAGGAAAAACATAGCAGCAAAAGTCACTTTGAGTTTTCAAGAATCCTACAAAATTTACAGCAACATTTGGAGTGATTGCACAAGTAATAGTGGAACTTTTGGGCGGTTGCTCTCCTTTCTCGATTAATTGTATAATCGATTTTCATCGGGATCGAAGAAAGTAAAGCTGACTTTGTTTTAAATATTGAAATTTCAGAACTTTTGGGTAAAACTCTAAAACCATTGCATTCGTTTCTAAAAAAATGAATGATTAAAAATGATTGGGATTATTTGCTTGTGTGAATGAAATTGTCGCATTTTGTTTAAATATCCATGGTCTAAATGTGGTTGAAATAAGTATTGCGGTGATGGATACTAAAGGACAAACTACTATATTTTCTTGTTTTTTATGCTTATCTCGTTTAAATATGAAGTTTGTGTTATTTTATAGTTTAATTGATTTTTCATGATTGTTTGCAATTATACAATGAAGTTGCCGATAGCTTCCCACTTATATGAAGAAGGCTGTCGGAGGGCTTTAGAGCAATTTTATCGATTTTTATGCCTAATTCCCATTTTGCAATGCTCGTTTGCCCCGTGTCTCGTTTATGATCGCTAATTGCTTGTTCTTTATGTTTTATTGCTTATTTCATCAAAACGAAGCTCGTTGATGGCTTCCCACTTGTGTGACGAAGTCGTTGGAGGGTTTCAAAATAATTTTAAAACGAAGCCGCTTCGTAGCTTCTCACTTATGTGAGTAGTAGCCGATGGTTGTTCAAAATATTCATTTGCTCCTCGCTTGAGCGACATAAAGTTACCGATGACTTCTCACCTATTTGATGAAGTTGTCAATAACTTCTTATATGTATGACTCGAAGTTGTTAGTGGCTTTCCACTTGTGTGAGTGCGATTATCGATGACTTGTATCTCGTACCAATAAAATGTTATTTATCTTCGGGAACTCACTTATTTTTTGATAATAGGTTATGTTCGCTAATGATTAGCTGAAATTCTATTTTTTTTTTTTAATCTTTTTCCCTTTTGGGTAGGGCGTATTGGCCTTGGACCGACTCGAATGCCCAAACTACCCCGTTTCACACATAATCCTTCTCATCCCATATTTTTTACCAAATAAATTCTTTTGAATAGGCATAGAAGTATAACTGAATAAAAAAAATAAATTTTTATATTCATAGATAAATAATGCGACCTACCTTAGGTAGGATTGGATGGTGATGACTTCATATCTTTTCCATATGTAACCGACCTCTTATCCAAATATCTATGTAGACTAGTATGTTTAGGGTTTCGTAGTTTTCCTTGATTAGCTAGGTGGCGACTCTTTGTTATGGCCTCTTTGCGATGGTTGATGTCGACAATTAACAAATAAAATTATATCAAAAAATTAAGTTGTTTAGGATTTTAATAAGAAACAAATAATTCAAGAAAAAAATTTTAAACAATAAGAGTAAAAATTTTAAAAAAATAAGAAAAAAAGTAATAGTGAAATTTTTTTAAAAAAAGGAAAAAAAAAACTAGGATTGAGTAGTATAGTGTGAGAGTAAAGTAAATCATCGACTTGTGTGGGAAAAAAATACGTTCGATTTTTAAAAATTTTAACACTCAATCAAATAAAAAAAGAAAATAAATTGATGAGAAAAAACAAATAAAAAAAGACATATAGTGCATCGGCTAGAGATTAAAAATTTTATTTTAAAATTTTACAGATTAAAATGAAATAATTTGAAGATTTGAAAAAAAACCTAAGAAAAAATACTAAGGGTGAAAATTAAAAAAAATAATTTACTTTTTTTAAAAAATAAGAAAATAAGTAAGAGTGAAAATTAAAAAAGAAAGAAAAAAAAAGATTGAATAGTATAGTTAAGGGTAAAGTAAAAGTAAAAGTAAAAAAAATTAAAGTTATACTTGTTTAAAAAAAAAAAATCGAAGAAAAAAACATATATAGTGCATCGGCTAGGAATTAAATTTTTTTTTAAATTTTAGGGATCAAAATGAAATAATTTGAAAACTTAAAAAAAACCCAAGAAAAAAAAAACTAAAGGTGAAAATAAAAAAAATAAAAAAATTATTTAAAATTTTTTTCAAAAATAAGAAAATAAGTAAGGATGAAAATTAAAAAAGAAGGAAAAAAAAAAAACTAAGATTGAGTAATATGGTAAAGTACAAGTGAAAGTAAAAAGTATATAAAAAAAATTTATATTGTTCAAATAAACAATACAACCGCGTGATGGTTTCAATGTTCATTTGAATAGTAAAACTATCACGTGTTTTAGTTTAAAAGTAATTCTTAATAACTTCAAGGAAGAATCAACACAAAACTACGTAAATAAATATAAGAATAACTTGGTGGTATTTTTGCTTCATTAGAGTGTATTACGACATTTAAAAAAAAAAAAAAGAAAAGAAAAGCAATGAAGAGATTAAGATGTTTAGTTTGAGTGAAAAAAATTCTAATAGTTTAAAAAAAAAATTTCAGATTCAAATTTTTATATATATATGAAAAATTCTTTAAATATTTATCCTTATTTTGTATACTCGTTAGGACTGCGAAGGACTAGTATGAACCTTCAAGCTTGGAATACTTTAAAAGATCCAAAATAATAATAATAAAAGCAATGAAGACGAGTGTCCCATACCTCATGCTGTCGGGCTGGTTGCCTGAATAGGAAACTACGTATCGTTAAACGAACCTAGTGACGCTTGAAAAAGAAAAATTTGTGCGAGTTAAAGCACCATCCAGCCCTTCTTTCAGAAATGGTATGGTTGTCTTTTCCGGGAATGAAATGGCCGAAATAGGGCATATATGACCGCATATCCATCAACAGGGACAACTGCAAGTCAAACAATTCCAAATTTGTATGTTTGGTAGGACCTGTGGTTCGTTGATCTCCCTAATCCCTATGCCCATGTAACATTTAACGCATTCAACAACTACCTTGATTTAAAGTCCCTCTCCGGTCTCCTCCCCTGATCAGTGTCTTTCTCGGGAAACTAATAATACACTGTCGGTTCTTTCAACCCACAAATTCTGTTAGGTTTTCTCTATTAATTAATTCTCCTGTCTCAGACAGTTACCTTGCTCGTCTATTTCTCAGTATCTTTTTTTCTCTCACTGGAACAAGTAAAATAAAAAATGGACAGACGTTGGAACAAGCTAGCCAAGACCACAACTTACTGCTATGATCAAGGTGAGTTTCCTACATTAATTATAACTACTTGTGATGGTCTTTTATATTTCATCTTTTCCAAGTTTCTCTCTTTCCAGTTTGCTGCTTGAATCATTTTAGTGATACATGACATTAATGGTGTAAAAAAAAATCATCATAATTTTAAAAGGATAATATTTCCTTGAAGGAATACAAGAGTATTTTATTTCAATGAATATTATGTCATTTAATATTTTCACTTTTCAAATTTACTCCTAATCTCTTTCTATTTTTAGAAATAATATCTGTCATCATGGTGTCACCAAGCATTTTTCTTATAAATTAAGAGTGTTTGCTTCACTCTTTTTCTCGTTTTAAATTTTTTCTTTGAATTTTCTCTTGTATGCCCTTTAATTTCTTGCGAGACCATTTCTCTTTACAGTTTCTCTTTTTCATTCTAGCTGCTTCACTACTCTTTCTCTCTACAATAATTTACCAGAGGTGAGCAGCATTGAATGGGAGTTCATTAACATGTCAAAACAAGAAGATCTCATTTACAGAATGTGTTAGCTGGTCCGAGACAGGTAAATTAGGAAGCTTGCCTTTTCTTTTTCTTTTTTTGCAGTGCAATTATGAAAACCAAAAAGTTCTTCTTTTTTCCGTGTATCTTATAACTGATGGGATGTGTAGTTGGGTTTGGCGTTGTAAATGGGAAGTTAATTCACTCAGCAGGTAGGTCAGCGATACTGTCACGTTATTTCCTTGTATGTTCTTTCTTTTCCTGATCGTTGAGGTAGAATTTAATTCATGCACTTCTCCCATGTTAAGAGGAGTTCCTTCTAAAATGTCTCTGGCTTTTTCAAACAAAATAAAACGTACTAGTATTTACATACATGGATTGTGCCGGTGCATGATGGATAGAGTACTCATAGTCAATACTTTTATTCATAGAATCCAAACATGGTCCGGATTCCGGAATGGTTCTCATTTGATGTGTTGCCCTCAATTTTGTCTGAAAAATATCAATTCTATTTTCAAAGATAAAAACATTTGGACTGAAAGGAAATTGTTTTGGGAGGGTTACTATAAGCTAATGCCACTAGAATTTTCCAAATGCATTGTACAAAATGCATATTTATTAAGAAGAATGATACTATATACATATCATCCCGTCCCTACACATGTAATGAAGGAGGAGGTTTTTTTTTTTTTTTAATAACCGAATGGTTAAGCATTCATAAAAGTAGCTTCGCTGATGTAATTATGGAAAGCTACATTCTCATTAAATTTACATGAAATACAAAATTAGGGATTGTTGAAAGTCTTGAAAGAAGGCTCTAAAGAGTGTAATGATAATATATCTAGATTTTATGGTTGGAAGAAACATAGTATATTTTGAGATCTTCCTTATTGGAACTCTAATTTAATTCGATACAATTTGGATATGATGTACATTAAAAAATATCTTTGACAATGTGTTTAATATAGTTATAAATGTGTTAGGAAAACTAAAAGATAATACAAACTCTAGAGAAGACTTAAAACTTTATTGTCAATTGTTAGAATTAGAAATATATGAAAAGTTTGGAAAATGCCCCAAAGCTTGTTGCACTCTAGATAAACAATAAAAAATACAATTGTTTGAATGGATTAAACAACTCAAGTTTCTCGATGGATATGTATTGAACTTGAGTAGGTATGTTGATATGAACAACTTTAGATTGCATGACATGAAAAATCATGATTGTTATGTATTTATATAAAGGTTAATAACTTTCGCATTTCGTGACCTATTATCCATGGTTGAATAGAGATACATTTAATTTTATGCAAACTTAAGCGTATATTTTCATTAAGTTTTTTCAACTCAATGAAACATCTTCTAGTCCCCTTGGCTTATGAAGCAAAAATAATAGGATCAGTATAATATCGATGGACGTATTTGTTTGAAAGGTAAATATATTGATTTTGAATCCTTATTAATTTAGTTTTTAAAAATATTTGTTAACTAACATACATATATACAATACGTATCTTTAAAAATTAAAAAAAAATATAAAGAACAAAGCTAGAGTTGAAAGGTCAATATGCAATGCATATTTAGTTGAAGAAACGTTAACGTTTTGTTCATATGACTTTGAGCTTCATGTCCATACCAAATATCAAAAAGTATCATAGAACTTTGAGTGTCCTTGAGAACCAAATGACGATATTGAAGGAATGTTTTCTATATTCAAACCAAAAGGTCAATCTCTTGTTCGAGCAAAATCATATGTGTTGATAGATCAAGAAAAGCTTACACCGATACCTACATTTTGTTAAACTGTGATGAGGTGACACCTTACACTAAGTAATTGCTATAATTAGCAAAAATTTCAATACTCAACTTCGTTAATTATCAATTATTTTTGTTAAATAAATAAAAATCTTATAATAGTTTTTTTCCATAGATATTTTGTGATCCAACTTTATCAAAGTCATCCTAACATATCAAAGAATGAGGTTGATGCTCGGCTTGAAACATAATTTACATCATGGTTCCATCGATATATGAGTATCATAAATTTTGATTTTTTTTTTGTTATTAAGATGGTATTATGAAATTTCATACTAACATTAAGTAATGGATCTGGACTTCACGGGCAAGTAATGCCTAATCCAACACGATAATCGACCATTACATTAAAGATTTTACAAAAGAACCATTGCGAACTACTAAGTTGTATCCAAGATACATTGTGAATGGGTAGAAGTTCCATGCCAAAGGTCATGGTTTGGATAGAGCAACAATGCATAGTAGAGTATGCATAAAAGGAGTTAGTTATGGTGTAGAGGAAAATGACTACTATAGTAGATTGACTAATATACTCGAAACTTGAGTATCCCGCCTTTCCAATTAAGAAAACCATATTGTTCAAATGTGATTGGTCTACTACACCTAGCATTGGTACAAGAGTTCATGATTAGTACGGACTAATAGAATTAAACGAGTTGTAGGATATCAAACAGATTCGATCCCTTTATCCTATTAACATAAACATATTAAGTGTATTATACAACATATCCTACATCAACACACATCGGGCATGATTGGTTGGTCGTATGTAAGGTAAAACCTCGATCGACGGCGGATGTGCTCGAATCGTCTATTATGGTCCAAATAATTATGGAATCGTTTCAAGAAAACGAAATAGAAGACCAACACGATGTCATCTAAGTTGATGATGATGAAGGTCAATCTTTGAGTGATCCAAGTAGAGTGTTAATAGATTTAAAAGAGGGTAAAATTAGTAAAGAGAATGAAATTAAATTTGAAACGAGATGTTGAAGAAGACTTAGATGAAGACTGTAACAATGATGACCAAGATATTGATTAGCGATAGGGTTTGATTGTCCTACATAGTTTACTTGAAATTATTAATTAAGATAACATATAAATATATATGCGTGTATATGTTTTAATTTAATTATGAAATTATTTTTTCATCGTAAAATAAATATATTTAAACTTGTTTATGTTAATACCAATGTTTTGTTTTAATACTTAATTTTAACTAATTAATGTGATAATATGTATGTTATGCCTCATGGTAGGAGACGTTCTTACATGTAATGGTCCATGTCATATGGTGAGGGTCGTGGTTTAGACACCGATGATGACAATGATTGTAGACGTGGGCGTAGTCCTACTTTCGTTCTTAGTCGGATGGCCCTCATTCGATATGTATGCATACCACCCTCCCGGTGCCACGTTGTCAAACCCATCAACATTTGACATATCTCGGTTTGAGCTGCATTATTATGAACTTCGTTCTCTTTTATCTAACTCTTTGTTGTCATTAGGGCCTTTTCCCAAACAAGATGATCGCATATTCCCGAACATGGCTCATCGTCGAACGTCCTTTCTATTTTTGCTTTTGAACTTATCGGATCTACGTTCGATCCTTGGATTGTGATCGTTGATGGCAAGAAATACATATTATGCATATTTTTATAATTTTTTATTATAATTATGTATTCATTTAACTCGTTAATTAATGTCTTATTTGACATCTTGTATCCTTTTAATATTTACACTCGTCATATCTATATAAGACATTCCATGAGTTTATTGATATATCCGGATCGACATAGAAGTTAATTAGTTTGAAAAATAAAGACTTATATTGAAAAGAGTTCAAGGTAGTTTTTAGTTTAATTAATTTATTACATGAATATACATTCCGGTTAAGAAACACTAATGTTAATTTAAATGTACTAATAAATATTTTAAACGTTGTTATAGAAGTCTTTTAAGTTGGAGCTGAATATCGAGGTAAGCATAAAGAAAGCATGGCGAGTACGGCACAAAAGCGATATTTCCACTTCCTTTATAAGATAAAGAGAAACCTCAAACCAACATATATCTCATGAGAGATATGAGATGCATGACATAAGGAATGGGCAAAAATTGAGTCTCGTGCTCGATTTGAGATGATGGCCTAAAACTATAAGA